CCACCCTCCTCAGACTCCACCCCCCAAATCTCCAGGTATTTCCCAACCTGGAGCTCGCAACCCTAGTCAATAAAGGTAATCAGTTGTTTGTGGGCTGCGTAAGAGCCCTGGATGTGTTTGTGTCCTTTATAAAGTTTATGTCTCCGCTGCCTGGCATTACATTTTATGACTCACATGGCCCGGCCCAACAAGGTCTCTGACTCTCTGGCCTCATACCGCACTGAAGTCCCTCCCCTCCCCAAACCCCACCCCCTTCAGGCTCCACCCCCCCAAACTCCAGGTCTTCCCCAACCTTGAACTGGCAACCCTCTGTGGGGGACAGAGCCCCTAACTCTTCCCCCCTTCCCCCCACAATTCGTGGCTCCTCACCAGGCTCCCATTCCATTGGCAGAGTCGGTGACCACAGTCTTGGCGCAAGCCACGTCTACGGCGATGTTGTTTGTCAGCAGTTCTGCGGGGAGGAAAAGAAGCAGGTGACGATTCTGCCCCGGAATCCGATGATGAGGCTGGAGGTAGCTTCAGGACTGGACAGCACAACACCTGACCCTCCCCTAGTTGCTCTTGCTATGCTGGGAGACCTGAGAAAGACTCGAGCTCGAATCCCCACGCATGGAAGCTTCCTGGGACGGTCCCTCTCTCTCAACCAAGCGTACCTCATAGGCAGTGTTCCCTCTAAGCTGAGTTAGTGTGAGCTAGCTCACATTCTTTTAGCCTCCAGCTCACACATTTTTGTCTTAGCTCTGGAAGGACGGCTGCAGCGCAAACTAATTTTGGCAGGAGCCAAATGGCTCGCTCACGACTTTAATGCCAGTAGCTCACAAAAGTAGAATTTTTGCCCACAAGACTCCACAGCTGAGAGGGAGCATTTACGAGGGTAACACAGAGGAGAGGAGAATGACGCTCTAACCAACTTTGGGGGCCCCGCTGGGGAGAAAACTAGGATACAAACGCCCAAAGAAATAAATCCTCACCAGAGCACTGAATCCCGCAGATGTTGGAACTTTGCTGAGAGCCATACTGGCACCAGTACCGGCTGTTGATCTGGAAGATGCCGAAGTCGGTGCTGCCATCGTAGTCATTGTAGTGTGTGGCGGCCGTGTTGTAGCGGCTCTCGTGGTAGGCCGTGCAGACCCCTGAGGCACGGAGAGAGAGGACACGGCTGAAGAGAAGCAGGGGGTTTTGTGTGTGGATGCGTGTGTGCTGGGGTCAAGCAGCATTGTGGGCCGCGGAGCATCCGCATATTCTGGGGAAAGCCAAGCTCGGAGGAAGAAATTCTGCCAGATGTCTAAAAAGGTAAAAGTTCCCTTGCTCGAAAGCCAGTCGAATCCGACTCTAGGGTTGCGGTGCTCATCTCCGTTTCAAAGCCGAAGAGCCAGCGCTGTCCGAAGACGTTTCCGTGGTCATGTGGCCGGCATGACTAAACACCAAGGCGCACGGAACGCTGTTCCCTTCCCACCGAAGTGGTACCTATTTATCTACTTGCAATTTCTTGCTTTCGAACTGCTCGGCTGGCAGGAGCTGGAACTAGAGATGGGAGCTCACTCCATCATGCGGCACCCGAGTCTCAAACTGCTGAACTACTGGCCTTCCACAGCCTGCAGTTCAGCTAAGTTTATGTCTAAGTCTGTGTCTAAGTCTATGCAAAAACTGGATTTCATACGGCACCCCTCAATAGCTCTCATTTCATTCCTTTGTCCAACAAAAGCTCCATAACTCAATGCCTTGAGCAGTAGAACGGTCCAAAATTTCATCTATCATCTCTACTTATTTCTCGAAAGACAAAAGGAATTATTTTTATTTTTTTGCAACATCCAAGGTTATATTAGGATTTTGATCTGATGGCAGGAAGGGGGACCCCCCTGCTTCGATTAAAATCACTGAAATTCACCAGCCGTGGTAGAATAAAATGGCAGATTAGAACACAGAGGGCATTCCAATAAAATCTGAGAAGAGTGAATCTGTTTCACCAAGGGGGCCTTAAGAGCAAATTCTATCATAGCAGGGAAGATGCAAGAAGTGGCCTCTTGTAACCAGCACTGAATGGGCATTCATTCTCGCAAGAGTAAAAGCCCTGAGTAGACCAGAACTCAATAGTTCTGTCCTTAGGAAATCACACACCTTGCCATACCTATCCAATGCGCGCTCTCTCTCTCTCTCTCTCTCTCTCTCTCTCTCTCTCTCTCTGATATGCATGATACACAGGGGTCATTTCCTGCAGGAGCACACAGGAGCGGAGCTCCGGCAGTAAAGAGCCCAGGGGGTGGGCACATGCAACAAGCCCCACCCCCTGCTCCCAGCAGCCTTCAGTCAGAGCAAGAAGCAGCCAGGTAAGTTGCAGAGCCCCCGCCCCTCCGGCCCAAAACAGTCCAGTGGCACCTTTAAGACCAAATTTTATTCAGGTACAAGCTCTCCCTCCTCTGCGAGGACAGATCTGCACGTGTCCCCCCCCCCATAGCTCGCAATCCAAAACAGTCCAGTGGAGCCTGAGTGGTGGGTGTTGCCTTCTGACACACTTCCGGTGATGTCAGGGTGTGTGGCATATGCAAATGAGTTATGCTAATGAGCTCCTGCACCTCTTTTTCTACAAAATGACCTATCTATCTGTCTGTCTGTCTGTCTGTCTGTCTATATCTATCTATCTATCATCTATCTATCATCTATCTATCTATCATCTATCTATCTATCATCTATCTATCTATCTATCTATCTATCTATCTATCTATCTATCTATCTATCTATCTATCTATCTATCTACTTCGTCTGTCTGTCTTATCTATCATCTACTGCTATCAAGTCACAGCTGACTCATGGCAACCCCTTTTGGGGTCTTCAGGGCAAGGGGCGTTCAGAGGTGGGTTTGCCATCGCCTGCCTCTGCATCCTGACCCTGGACTTCCTTGTTGGCCTCCCATCCAAATACTAGCCAGAGCCGACCCTGCTCAGCTTCCGACATCCAATGACGACGTCAGACTAGGCCGGGCTATCCAGGTCAGGGTTCCCAAAACGACAGCCTCCTTATTAAACCCTTCTCTTTTCCATGGGTACTATGCCAATTGTGCATGGCAGTACCCTCGAACGGCCTAACCTTCAGTGTGCCCCACCAATCATAGAATTTCTGGCAATTCCTAGAACGATGTGATGGTGTGATGCTGTTGCGCTAAACCGCTAATGGCCATTTTTAAATTTATTTTTCTCCCACTGGCCGGTGGAGTAGTGTCGGCCAGCGGAGCTTGCTGGCCAGAGGAGGCTCGCCATAACGGTAGACCTGGCAACCCTATGTATCATCAGGGGTCATTTCGTAGAAAAAGAGGTGCAGGAGCTCATTAGCATAGCTCCTTAGCATAGCTTATTTGCATTTGCCACACCCCCTGACATCACCGGAAGTGTGTCAGAAGGCAACACCTACTGCTCAGGCTCCACTGGACTGTTTTGGATTGCTAGCAATGGGGGGGGGGATGACGTGCAGATCTGTCCTCACAGAGGAGGGAGAGCTTGTACCTGAATAAAACTTGGTCTTAAAGGTGCCTCTGGACTGTTTTGGACTGGGGGGCCAGAAGGGCTCTGCAACTTACCTGGCTGCTTCTTGCTCTGACTGAAGGCTGCTGGGAGCAGGGGGTGGGGCTTGTTGCATGTGCCCACCCCCTGGGCTCTTTACTGCCGGAGCTCCGCTCCTGTGTGCTCCTGCAGGAAATGACCCCTGTGTATCATGCATATCGTCGAGAGCCAGCATGGTCTAGCGGTTAGCAGCGTTTCCAGATTCTGGAGGAAATTCCCCGAGGGTTGAGGTTGGGGCCTGGGGAGGGACCTTTGTTCGGGTTACCAACCTCCAGGTGGTGGCTGGAGATCTCCCGCTATTACAACTGATCTCCAAGCGACAGAGATCGGTTCACCTGGAGGAAATGGACCCTTTGGAAGGTCGACTGGATGGCCTTCGACCCCACTGAAGTCCCTCCCCTCCCCAGACCCTGCCCTCCTCTGTCTCCACCCTCAAAATCTCCAAGTATTTCCCAACCCGGAGCTGGCAAGCCTAACCTTTGCGGGGTATAGTATGACAGAGTCCACCCTCCGAAGCACCCAAGGCAACTGCAGTCTGGAGATCGGTTATAATTCCGGGAGACCTCCGTGGCCCACCTGGAGGTTGGCATCCGGACCCTGCGCCGCACACCCTTACAGTCCCCATACACAAGCCAGCACCTTCCCCTTTGAATATATGGAGCAGATGTACAGGAGGATCAAATACCACCCCCAACCCCCCACTATCCAATGTCATACACCAACTAGACACCTTCCTAAGACTGTCTACCCTTTCCGTTAGAAGCCGTGGACTCACAGTTAGCCAGGCTGTAGCCGGCGTAGCCATCTAACCCCAATTCCTGGAGCTTCTGAGCCAGCTCACACCGCGTGAAAACCATGCCTTGTCCCCTGGGGAGGACGCAGGCGAGGAGGGACAGCAGCAAGAAAACCTTCATCGTTGCAGCCTGGAGTGACCAACAGTGGAGGACAGAGAGTCGTGTCCACTTTTATATGGATTCCGGAACACCTCTGGAAAGCCGCCGAGGTCGGCGGACTTTGTGAGAACACCTTGGGACGTTTACCTTTCCGTCGTGCGGCTATCGGGGTATAAATCAACAAAAAGGACTCTCCACGAGTTTCTGAGCCATAGCTCTATCTTTGCATTAATAATAGTCACGCTTACCGCCTTGCACTGTTTAGAGAGCTCAGAGATACGTTATCACATTACGATTCTAACCTTTTCTTTAACGATCGGCACGGCAGGGTAATGGAAAATGTCCCGAGCTACTTCTCCTCCACTCACTGGAGAAGACCCTGATGCTGGGAAAGATTGAAGGTCAAAGAAGACGGGGACGGCAAAGGATGAGATGGTTAGACAGTGTCATAGATGCAACGAACATGAAATTGAGCCAACTTCAGAGGACGGCGGAAGACAGGAAGGCCTGGCGTGATCTGGTCCATGGGGTCGCGAAGAGTCGGACTCGACTGTGCGACTGAACAACAACTCCTCCTCCAATCCCACCTGTTGCCAAGTTTCGTTCTAGGTGAGTAGCAGTGCTCCCTCTAAGCTGTGGAGTCTTGTGAGCAAAAATTCTACTTTGTGAGCTACCGGCATGAAAGTTGTGAGCAGTGTTCCCTCTAAGCTGAGTCAGTGTGAGCCAGCTCACAGTTTTTTAGCCTCCGGCTCACACATTTTTGTCTCAGCTCGGGAAGAAGGGCTCCAGAGCCAACTCATTTATGCAGCAGCCAAATCGCTCGCCCACAGCTTTAATGCCAGTAGCTCACAAAGTAGAATTGTTGCTCACAGGACTCCACAGCTTAGAGGGAACGTTGGTTGTCAAACTCCTTTCCCTTCCCCTCCCCACAGCAGACACCCTGTGAGGTAAAAGAAGAAGAAGAAGAAGAGATTGGATTTATACCCCGCCCTTCACTACCCAAAGGTGTCTCAGAGCGGCTTACAAACTCCTTTCCCTCCCCCTCCCCACAACAGACACCCTGTGAGCAGTGTTCCCTCTAAGCTGAGTTGGCGTGAGCTGGCTCACAGTTTTTTAGCCTCCGGCTCACGCATTTTTGTCCTAGCTCAGGAAGGGATGGCTCCAGAACAAACTAACTTATGCAGGAGCCAAATTGCTCGCTCACAACTTTAATGCCAGTAGCTCACAAAGTTGAAGTTTTGCTCACAAGACTCCACAGCTTAGAGGGAACATTGCCTGTGAGGAAGGCGGGGCTGAGAGAGCTCTGACAGAAACGGCTCTTTTTCAAGAACAGCTCTTATCAGAACTATGGCTTGCCCAAGGTCATCCAGCCAGGTGCAAGTGGAGGAGGAGTGGGGAATCAAACCCGGTTCTCCCAGATTAGAGTCTGCGCACTTCACCACTACACCAAACTGGCTCTCAGGGGACAGTCTCTAGAGTGTGGGGGCAACAGGACCTGGGCACTGGGGGCTTGGGAGCCCTAGAGTCTGCCCTCCAAAGCAGCCCATCTTCTCCAGGGGAACTGATGGCCACAGTCTCTGGAGATCAGTTGTAATTCCAGAAGAACAGGTAGGGTTACCAACTGGGGTGGTGGGGGGGATGTCCTACCCATTTAATAGGGGAATGGGCATTTTAAGGTTTTCATTGCATGGAGTTAAATAACACCCCATTACGTCTTCATTAAAGGGATAGGACTTTTTTCCTCCAGGCGGGTTGTCAACCCATCATAATGTGCTTTAAGTGAGCTTTGAAGATTGAGCATGCAAAGTCCCCCTAACTCGGGCTCAGTCCTGTCTGTAACTACGTTCACCAGCCTCTAGGTGGGGCCCTGGAGTTGCTCTGGAATTACAGCTGCTTTCTAGACCAGGGAGATCAGTTCCCCTGGAGGAGATGGAAGCTTCGGAGATCATTGGACTCTCTACAGCATTGGTTCCCAAAGTGGGCAATACCACCCCCTGGGGGGGGGGCGCTGGAATCAGCACTGGTTCCCAAAGTGGGCAGTATCACCCCCCGGGGGGGGGGGCGCTGGAATGATCCAGGTGGGCGGTAGGAGTGTTGAATAAAAATAAGGGGGCGGTGGAGGCATAAAGAAAGAAGAGTCCAGAACGTATCTCAAGCAGCCTTTTCCTGCCTTCTCCTGGTCTTCCCTGGGATCAGGGAGGGAGGAAGAGGGGGAGAGGGGTCCCCACAGCCAATCACAGCCATGCATTTGCAAATTGCAAATACATCTGCACAGGGCCGGCTCGAGGTGTTTCTGCGCCCTAGGCGAGGCTGCCTTATGGCGCAGATGCCAACCTCCTGGTGGGGCCTGGAGTCCTGGAGCCCTCTGGAGCCAGCCACCCTTTTGCTGCTGCCACCACCACCTCCTCCCCCCCGCTGCCACCAAAGGGGGGGAGGAGGGGGGAGGCACAGCTTGGCGCCCCATCCAGGGCCCAGCGCTCTAGGCGAATGCCTAGTTCACCTAGTGGGTGAGCCGGCCCTACATGTGCACTCTTGTAAGACTGGTGTTGCTGCTGGGCTATTGTGTGGTGGCTGCTGTCAGCCTCTGGCTTCAGGCCAACAATATCTTTCAGCAACATGTGCAAATTTGTCACTGCATCTTTTTGTCCACTTCTTGAAGGTAGATTTCCAGGGGGGCGCTGAGTAATTTTTTTTCTGAAAAGGGGGCGTTGGCCAAATAAGTTTGGGAACCTCCGCTCTACAGCATCACGTTCCCATCCAGCTCCATATTTCCAGGAATTTCCCCAAGTTAGAATTGGCAGCCCTCTCTATAATTTAATGAAGTTCTGCCTTGAAGCCCTTTCCTAACACGTGCTTGCTTGGGAGTCTAATAGATTGCACTCTGTCAGAGAGTAGCCACATCGGTGAGCGGGAAAGCTGGAACGTGAAATTGGGAATGAATTCTTCGTCACTTATGCAGAATCCGAAGGAACACCAGATGCCCTTCAAAACTCAGGTGGAATGGAATTCCTTATCTAGGGCCAGCTAAGCATAAGGCATAATGTACTGGGCTATTGTGCCGGAGATCATAGAAGTAATCTGCCCTCTGTGGTTCCTGTGTACGGTGCCGGGGAGCACACAAAGAACACACCTCCACTGGAAAGAGATGAAGGGGACTTGTGTCAGCACTGCGAGGAGCCTGACCAAAGGGGTGGTTCCACAGGAAGGGCTTGGGACAAGGGTCTGTTCTAGAAGAAGAAGAAGAAGAAGAAGAAGAAGAAGAAGAAGAAGAAGAAGAAGAAGAGAAGAGATTGGATTTATACCTGGCCCTTCACTACCCAGAGGAGTCTCAGAGCGGCTGACAAACTCCTTTCCCTTCCCCTCCCCACAACAGACACCCTGTGAAGTAAAAGAAGAAGAAGAAGAGACTGGATTTATACCCCGCCCTTCACTACCCAGAGGAGTCTCAGAGCGGCGTACAGACTCCTTTCCCTCCCCCTCCCCACCACAGACACCCTGCGAGGTAGGTGGGGCTCAGAGAGCTCTTGACAGAAACTGCTCTTTTTTTCAAGGACAGCTCTTATCAGAACTACGGCTTGCCCAGGGTCATCCAACCATGTGCAAGTGGTGGAGGAGTGGGGAACCAAACCCGGTTCTCCCAGATTAGAGTCCACGCACTTAACCACTACACCAAACTGGCTCACAAAGGAACCCCTCTGTCAGGAAATTCTTCCTCATGCAATCCCGGGATATCTCCAGCTGATACCTGGAGGTTGGCATGTCTAAAAAACGTAGTTCAAAGCCGCCATTTTCTCCCTATTGTCTGGGAGATCTCCAGGCCCCACCTGAAGGTTGGCACCCCAAGAAGAAGAGGAGGAGGAGGAGGAGGAGATTGGATTTATACCCCGCCCTTCACTACCCGAAGGAGTCTCAGAGCGGCTTACAAACTCCTTCCCCTCCCCACAACAGACGCCCTGTGAGGTAGGTGGGGCTGAGAGAACTCTTGACAGAAATGGCTCCTTTTTCAAGAACAGCTCTTGTCAGAACTACGGCTTGCCCAAGGTCATCCAGCCAGGTGCAAGTGGAGGAGTGGGGAACCAAACCCGGTTCTCCCAGATTAGAGTCCCCGCCCTTTAACCACGACACCAAACTGGCTCTAGATAGGGTTGCCAGGTCCCCGCTAGCCACCGGTGGGGGGTGGGAGTGACAGTTCCAGGCTGGGAAACTCCTGGAGATGTGGGGATGGCACCTGGGGAGGACAAGGACCTCAGTGGGGTACGATGCCAGCAGAGGCCACCCCCCAAAGCATCAATTTTCTCCAAGGGAACTGAGCTCTGTAGCCTGGAGATGGGCTGTATAATTCCAGGGGATCCCCAGGCCGTACCTGGAGGCTGGCACCCCTAGTTCTAGAAGCAGAGTTGCAATGATGTCACAGGAAGCGGCTGGATTCCAGAAGCCCCTGTGCCTGGGGACCCACGGCCTTCAACCCCAGAGGGATCCGAGCGTTCCTCTGATTTGCTCAGTAAGTAGATCCCCGGGAGGGCGGTGGGGGGAATCCAGGCAGGGTGGGAAGACTGAAGATGGAGGTCTCGGGGACTTCAGGTGGTGCTTTGGGATGGATATGCGGTCTTCTGAGAGCAACCAAGTGGGGCAAAGGTGTGAGGCTAGATTCCCATGTCCAGGGCTGGTCTGGTCTAGAACTAAAGGAGGAAAACTGAGTTGAGTACATTGGAACACATGATGAAGCTGCGTTCTAGTCTTGCCTACGCAGGCAGCAGGTCTCCAGGGTCTCAGGTGGAGCGTGGAGGTCTTCCACATCGCCTGCCACCTGACCCTTGCTGGAGATGTTGGGGATTGAACCTGGGACCTTCATGCATGCCTAGCAGGTGCTCTCCCTCAGAGCCATGGCCCTCCCCTCATTAGAGCCAAACATTTGACAATTAGGTCAGCTTCATTTCCCCCCCCCTGAATTAAAGTTAGGGGGAGACTTCACTAGTATACCTGAAAAATATTGACGTTGGAAAACCTGTTCCCTAACATGA